GTTGGTGGCGGCGGCCSGCCATTAACGCCCTGCGGTCTCTGTTCTGGTCGCTAATCAACACAACGCTGTGCTTGCGATTCTTGGCCAGGTTCCTGCGAGTCGTGTACAATGTCTGCTCAAAGCCCGAGAATGGCAGATTGATAAAGTACATCGAGCCGAAGCGCATGTAGACCTGTACCTCGCCATAGCGCTCGGGAATGTAATTCTTGTAGAGACGATGAATCTGTGTGAAGCACTGCTTGGTGAACTCGAGGTATGAGTCACGCAAACGCAATCTATGTTCTTCCAGGCCATCCGTGCCGATGCTGGGGGCGATGGCCACGGGTCTGAATCGTCGCTTGAGGAAGTGATTGATGTTGGGCATTATGTTTGTGTCTTCGAAGCGTATCTTGCTGAAGCGGTCGGCAGCCCCGTCGAACAGGAGAAGAGTGCCGGCGCCAGAGACAATGTTGCGATGAACTTTCAGGAGGATTCGAGACACCTCGTGGTAGAGCTTAGTGACTTCGCGCATCGCATGTTGGATGGAGAGGGGATCGCCCGATATCTTGAGCAGGTAGCGCTTCTTGCGCTGGCGGTGCAGGGATAGGGAGGCGCCAGTCTTGGCCATGATGCCGCCTGTGAAGAACTGCTCATCTTGGCTGACGTAGCGGCTCAGACTGCCATCGAGATGTATGATCTTTGTGTTGTTGTTGAGTGACTTCTTGATGAACTCGTTGATGTCGCTGCACGATGCTGCCAGTGTGTGGTAGGCCAGTTGGAACGTCTCGAAGAGGAAGGAACTGTTGTGCTCAGACTCGGACGTGCCGAGCAACAGGCTAGGGAAGTCGACCGTGTCCAACGGACACATGAGAACCAACTTCTCCTGGCGCCATATGGTTCGGCCCAGCAGCATGGTGTAGAAGCGGTAGAAGCCTAGAAGGTAGCGACCAATGTTGTTAACATGAGTATTATCCATCTTGATAGAGTCGATCAAGCTGGTCCACCATCGTGCCTCAGGGTTGGGCACGGAGGATGTTGTGACAGTCACGGGCCGAATGATTCCAGACTCAATGCAGTAGTGGATGGACATCCACACCAATGACCAGGTCTTGAGTAGTCGCGTCTGAGTGGTGGTACCATTGCGATCCATCGATGAGAGCAGTCCGCATTCGCGACCCCATTGAACGATGATGTAGATGAACGGCAACAGGAATGGGTATAGTCGATAGTACTCTGTGATGAGTAATGTCTTCTCTGTTCCATTGCTGTTGAGTGAGAGATCGCAGTGGACCGTGCACATCTTGAACCGAACGATCGGGAAGAATGAGTGCTCAAGGTATTTGATGTTCTCGATCTCGGCCACTGTGCACTTGAGCGCGGCCTCAATCGTGCGATACAGGGTGGCTTTGTCAGCGTCGTTGACACCGCGATTGAGGAGGAGATGGAGGTCCAGGTCGCTGTGCTCCTCAAAGAGGAACAGTGATGAGGAGCCATAAACAAACAGTTGCGCGTCTTTGAAGATAGGGTCGAATCGATGAAGTATGTTGACCAGAGTGGAGGCGATCTGTACGCGCTCCGTGTATGTCCGAATCAATTGTGGTGCATTTGACTTGAACAACTTGACAATGTCCAGAGAGAGCTGTAGTTGCTCTTGGTTATTGTCCATCTTGGCCTTGCTGGTTGGTTGAGTTGCAAAGGGTTGCACTATCCAGTAGAAACTGCGCACGGGGTCCGTGCGGTCCTCGTCCGCGACAGCACGCCATGCTGCAACCTTGCAGTCGGCACTCAATCGCACTTCAGGGGACAAGTGCACAAGAGTGTCAGATTCATACAAGTTGAGCTGTCGAATGAATTCCTGCCTCCAACGTCTTTGGATCTGAATGAGTGCTAGGTTGCCCTCCTTGATGATCTCCTTGCGCGAGTTCCTCTCGGTGATCTCCTCAGAGCACTGAACCATCAACTCCTCCTCAGAGCCAACCTCATATCGGTTGAGCAACAGTATCACCTCAACCTTGTACATGTTGTAGTCTTGGCGCGCTTGATCAATGTATACTGAGATGGCTCCACTGTTGCAGGATGTTGATGTTGATGACGTGGAGGACTCGGAGATAGTGTACATCATCACTTGAGAGAGCTGTTTGCATTGATCGTAGAGCTTGCCTAGGACTTTGGTGGACTGCCAGTACTTCTTGCTGGGGAGTGAGCGCTCCATGAATGAGGGGAATCTCTCATAGTTGCCAATGACTTGCTCCACCTCAAGGGGAAGCATGGCATGTACGCCAGTCTTGGGTGCATCCACCTCGACATAGTGTTGCTTGGCGAGGTTGATTGCCAATGGGTGCGTTGGAGAGTGGTAGTCGGAAACAGCCAGATGTGAGAGTGCAATCTGTCCAAGTGTGCCACGTTGAATGCTGTCCATGTATTGATCCATCAGTGCGGTTTGATCGATGGGTCGGTTGTCAGATGAGGCTGACCCATCGTCCTCACTGCCAATGTATGGCTCATGCTCATCCATGTGTTCGAGCATGTCTTGGTCGAAGCAGCAGAAGTAGCGGTCGCCATCGAGGTCGGAGCCAGAGCATTGTTTGAAGTCGGGTACTGAGCCGCGTGCGGCAAACACTACCACATCCAGAAGATGGTGCAGGGCAGGCACGTCAACAGCCTCGAGCAGCCTCACATCGCCAGGATGTAGGCATGGATTCTTGCAGACTGCAACGCGACCAGTAATCAGAGTTCCTTGGAGTCCAATGGTGCTCAGCTTGATGAACACCTGGCCTGCCACAAGAGTGTTGGTCTCATCGAGTACGCCAAGGAGTGTGCGTGCCTTGGGGATGGGGATGAAGGATTTGTCGCGGTAGTTAGCCACACGCTTCTGGTATATGAGCGCAAGAATCTGGCGCACCATGGGGTCTGCCTTGACAGCCGCCCAGCTGACGTCGCGGAACAGGTCGATCGACTCAAGCAGTGTCCTGGAAGTGTCGGATTCATAGAACATCAGTGCAAGATTGTCGAGCGCGTCCTGAAGCAACTCCATGAAACAGTGGTCGGGAACGCCCAGACCTGAGAACAGATTGATGATCTGGCGATTCAAGTAGCATGGCTTGTTGGAGCTTATACTGATGATCTCGAGTGTGCGGTTGTGTGGCTCTGGTGTAGTGTGGAACTTGCGCATGCTATTGCGCAGATAGAGGCCTCGTCTGATCGTAGGATGAATGGACACGACGCCCTTGTTTCCACCGATCCTAATCTGAAAGGCGCTGGTGCTGTTTGGGTAGGAGCATCTCGTGATTACATCCTGTGCCGTGTCAATGCCAATATAGCCAACGCCCTCTGAGAAGTTGTGTCCATTGATGATGATGTCATCCAGGCCTTCGTGGTAGTCGTGCCCATCTATGAGCATCACCGGGCGTGTCGATGGGAACACAAGGTTGAGGCAACGCAGGTATTTGCGCGCATTGGGATAGAGTGAGGTCTCACCCACCAATGTGTTGCGCACATGCACCAAGTCCTCGCCGTCGCGGCTGCGATAGAACCAGCAAGTGCCACGACGCGATTGTGACGAGCTACTCCCCAGGAAGAAATAGGTGCCATCGCCTTGAATGTTGATGCCATGGAGCAGACGTGTGTGTGTCTGTGTGTTAAGCAGTGTCTGGTTCTCAATGATCTCGCCGCCATCCTCCTCGGTCAGCTGTACAATGAGGAAGTTGTCGGGGTGGGACATACGAATGGCCCTGTTACACATCATCAGTATTGGCTGCAGGAAGATGACACGTGTTGGCGTGAGTCGTGCCTTCTTGATCAGGCAGTGATTGGTTGGAAGGTCGATCACTGGCGGGAGGGTGGCCTGTCCCTGAGCGCAGTTTGGCGTAGGCAAGTGAGACTTGTTCATCGTGGCCATCGCAAGATTGAGCATCTGCTCGGCCTTGGCAATCTGGCCCTTGTTGGCCAAGTCCTCGATCGTGTCATAAAAGTCTTGTGTGAGGCTCGCCTTGCCAAACTGTTGATGGGTCTCAAAGATGTGCACCAGGTATGCAAGACGACGGTTCAGATAAAAGTTGAATCGTGGTATTGTGATCGGCTTGGTGATCGTGTGAATGGCCGCGTAGTAGAGGGGCAGCTGGAACAGGTCGGCCAGGTACGTCTCATCCATGCCCTGTGGCATATCCAACTTGAATCTGAATACAAAGGTCATTGGACCTGATAATGGGCAACTGGGTAGACAGCTCTGACGACTGGCCACCTGGTTGGTGGTCGGGTCCATCTGGTATATCCTCGGGGATCGCTTTGTCGTGAGATAGAAGTGACTTGTGAATAGGTCGTACAATAGGAAGTTCTCGAGATCTCCCATGATGAATACAACCTGTTGATGGCGCTCGTGAAAGTAAAGCGTCAACCTATTAGCATCGTTGCTAAATAAAAGTGACACTCCAGTTGCAGATGAAGATGATGATGATGAGGTCGACGTTGATGATGTTGAGTGTTCGCGCCACACAGTCCTGAATTGAGTGGGAGTGATAAAGTCGCCACCTTCCAGGTAGCGTACACTAGTCTGCAGTGTGGAGTTGTTGGTCCTTGATGAGGATGGGGTGGCGATGATGTTTGAGTGATGATCACCTCCAGTCTTGACTTGAAGCCAACAGTAATGTGAGGGTGTCCAAATGGAAAGGAGTTGTCGCAGATTGATTAAAAGGTTGTGGGACCATGACATTGGGGCATCGATTGCCACCATCTTGGTTTGTGTCATCCATGATGAGGATGATGGTGAAGTATTTGTCGGTGTGGTTGTTGCCGTTGCCTTTGATGGCGTGTTGTCTACAAACTCTCTAAAGATAAACTGTAACTTGTCTTGCAGTGTGATGTCGCTGAATGTACTTTGATCAAATGCACCAATGGCATCGGAATGATAGAATGTGAGGAACAATGAGATGAGCTGAGGTGATATTGATGGTCCATGGTTGGTCTTGTGAGTCGCGTCCAAGCAGTCGGGGCTTCGTTGTTCTTTGAATCGCTTGTAGTCATTCATGAACTGAGTGAGCTTGGTGGGGTCATTCAGTCCATTAATGGCCATGCGCTGCCTGACCAGGTTCATCATAATCTTCTCTCGTCTGAGCAGGGCGATCAGCGGGTTGACAGGCGGCCGCTTCGGGTCCTCCTGGAACTGCATAGCGTGGAACTGGCTGTTTCGTTCGCGAGCACGCCCGCGTCGCTGGATAAGGGAGCGCAGCTGTAGGTCCTCCTCGAAGCAGATGATGACGTTGCACGATGGCACGTCGATGCCCTCCTCGAGCACCGATGTGGAAACGATCAGTCGGCACTGCCCCTCTCTGAACTTCTGGATGTGTGAGCTCTGTTTGCTGTATTCCATGCCATCATCATTCGATACGTTGCCAACCACGTACTTGGAGTTGATCTGCTCGTTGAACTCCTCCTTGCGCAGCACACCTAGCAGGCGGAGCGCGGTGGTGCGCATGCGTACAAAGATGATGCACTTGAATGACGAGCCATTCGGGCCGTTTAGATTGGACTTGATGAGATCGGCAAGCTTGCTGTACTTCTCCGAATTGAGCTGGTCATACATGATGCGGTCGGGTCGCGATTGGATCACCTGCAGGATGTGGCGGAGATGGACGTTGAACGCCTGGTTGATGTCAGCGTTGGATGCATCCAGTAGCTCGCTGTGAACTTGGTTCTCCAGCTGTCGCACGCTCTCAATCTCAATGATCGACAACAATTCGATCAGTTTGAACAGATGTATGGTTTGATAGGTGAGCGTTTGAGTGAACTTGTTGTTGATCTTGAGATTGAAGATGTAGGTCTCGAGTTGGCGCGCAGCATGGATGAACGAGCCAATCCTCTGATGGCTGTACTCTAGGTTCTCAGAGAACATTGGGAGTTCGCAGTGGAAACAGGAAGCTATCTCTCTAATGGCGCTCTCAATCACCTCTCGGACCTCAGACTGCAGTTGGTTGAAGGTGAATGGCACCAGGTTCATGGTGGCCACCTCCTTCTTGTATTCCTTGATCGAATGAGGAATGAACGATGCTGCATTGAGCGTCATCTCGAGGTTCTTTAGCGCCCCCTCAATGCTGCCGGAGGTGCTTGTAGGCGACGCCGTCATTCCAAAGATGAGGGGAGAGTAAGCCTTCTCGGTCATGTCCGTGAAGATCTTGGCCAGACGGGCAAAGGGGTGGCCGCCCGAGCAGTTGTGCACCTCGTCCAGGACGACCAGGTGGAAGTCTTTGGGGCGCAGCTGATTGACCAACAGACAGTTGAGAATTGTGTCTGCAGTGCAAAAGATGACGTCGGGTCTGTCGTCATTGACGCTTGTGATCTCTGTGAATTGTTTCTGTCCACCGTGGATGGTAACCGTTTTGAGTAATGGGAAGAATGTCTTGATGGCCAACGCCTGCTGGTTCACCAATGGTACTCTGGCCACGACAAACAATGCCATCCGCTTGACCACCGTGTCGATGTGGTTCTGTCCATTGCATATGTGCATCTGTTGTATAAGTAGTGCAGAGACCATTGTCTTTCCTAGTCCTGTACATGGATGGAGTGATACAGGTTAGTGATTGAGTTGAGCAACTTCCAAGGAGGTGGAGGGTCGAGACATACCAGTCGGTAGGATGAGGATTGAGTTGGATTGCAGTGCGATATAGAGTGATTCAACTTGAAAGTCATAGAGGTCCATGTTGGGGACCATCAGTTGTTGCATGTTTGGTTGTTTCGGTATGATTGTGGTCAGGTAATGAAGTGTATGAGTGTTCTTGTTTGGTGTCTCGGGTGACATGATTGTATCATTGTTGTTGTCTCCATTTCCATTGATGATGACGGCATTGTTCGATTGAGATTGAGGTTGATTGACTTGATTGACTAGCTTGACTCCAAGTTGCTCAAAGATATTAGGGTCTATTTTCTTCCAGCGTGAAGTCTTTGTGTTGATGAGTTGAAGAGTCAATGCCACGCTGTCCGGGTCTAGACAGTACATCTTGTCATTGTTGTTAAAGTCCCGCTTGATCACAGTGCCAATAGTCTGACAGCATGACTGATGATAGATCTTGAACGGTGAGAACTGAGGCCTTTTGGTGTTCTCCACAAGATAGAACAGGGAGCTGTCGACCTTGTTTTCTCGAAGTGCAAGGTTCATACCTCCCGACAGGTCTCTATATAACATGAGCTCATTAGTTCTAAAGATTCCTACTTGGCATCGTTTGCAATAGACATAATGTTCTTCTTCTTCTTTAACGACACTAGCATCTGGTGTCGTTGTAGTAGTTGTTGTAGTAGTAGTTGTTATTATTGGTGTCTTAGCAACTACTTGTTGTTGGTCAATGATGATGTTGTTGATGTTTGATGATGCAACAGAGGGTTTCGTCGATATCATTGGTCAAATCAATCAATCAATCAAGCAAGATAATCGCTGTCTGGATGGTTGTATTATTATGTTTAGTAATGGGTAGTGTTTGGCGATACGTTGGGATATCAAACATACGTTGAAGGTTGTTTGTTTGCAAGTTACGATGAGCGAGTTTGCAAGTTTCGGTATAGGCCTCGAGGCTAAGACTGACGATTGATGATATGGATGGTCTTTTGTGTAATTATATTTCCTATATATTACTTGTTCGCAACAATGAGTGAGTGTCAGAGTGAATGAGTGAATGAGTGAATGGAACCCGGTTGGGTTCTTCTTAATCAATCACTCCAATTTTTGACTTCGCCCCATCAGTCAATCAAATGATTGACCGACACTTCCAACCATACATAACAACATAAACAAGTTTACATTTCTGCACTCACGTACTTGGTCAATCAGACTTATTGACATAATGATTAACTGCAATTGGATTCTGGGGACTAGTGAACATGATGCAGTTCTTACAGATATCGTGTCCTTGCAACCAAAGCAACAGCAACAACAACAGCAACAGCCACATGGAGATATTGAGGGAAGATATGTTACAGTGATCAGACCACAGGATTGCAAGGAGCAGTGTGCATTGACAATCAAGTTCGAAACAGCAGTGTTATTACATGATATAGTAGTGTGCTCTCAAGCTAGATTGGTCGAGGTATACTCTGGCGAGTTGGACGACTACCTTGTAACAATGAAGGCACTGCAAATCAATGAAGACGATGATCCAGTCGACAAATATGAGGCCCAACATCACTTTAATAGTAGAGTCAATGCAACTAACTTGAAGATAAAGGTATATATAGCTAGTATCGACTATCGAAGAGGGTATGAACTAACATAGGTTGAATGAATTTTAGTTCTGCTCATTGTTGGAGAAGGATAAAAATAGGATATCCAAGGTCTATGTACTGTATACCAAGGTCGAGACCAACAACAGTAATGGCATGGACATGATGGGTATGGACAAGGAGAACTCACTCAACTCGATGATGGCCATAATGTCAATGCTCACAAAGACATCAGATTCATTCCAAGGGTTACAACAAATGTCAAACACTAAATCCTCGACTCAGTCTCATGTTCCTCCTCCCCATGTTCCTCCTACTCCCTCCTCGGTCACTGCCATGGCATTGCCTCCCAAACCAATCAATCATCATCAACAACAACCTCAACAACAAAATACTATATCAACTAATGTAGCGACACATCCACTAGTCGGTACCGATAACATTGCACTGATACAGTCGATGCTGGACAAAATGGAACAAAGGATTGTAAGTCCTTGACTTGATTGTTTGTGAATGATTGAATACTAACATGGATTGTGAATCATAAACATGCTAGAACAACAAGTTTGAAGTCATACTCAGCAGGATAGAGGCAATCGAACAAAAGTTGGAAAAATGATCAAAAAGTGTGTGACAAACAAAAAACGAACGAATGGTTCTTGTGTTGTTGTCGACGAAAGTGCACTCATTCATTCATTCAATCGATACAGATAGAGATAATATACATATAAATATTTAATAATGAAGTTAAAGGGATCATTAAAGAATAAAGCATCAAGTGCTGCTGCTACTGTAGCACCAACAACTACAACTACATCCACAACTACTACACCATCTACAACATCGACACCAAAGACTAAGAAGGTGACAAAGAAGAATAATAATACAAAGAAACAGAATACTACTACAAAGACAAAGACATCTGGTGTTAATAGATCGATCAATGCAAAGATGGAGGATGATGAGATTGACGTTGGCTCGGTGATGTCGCTGAAGAAGTCGGCGTCCAAGCAGAAGAAGCAACCATCATGGTCGACAATCAAGTTGGACGACAACCATATGTCAACCTTTGATTACAGTGGCTTTGTCGGTCTGGAGGTGATGGATGCCAACGACTACTTTGTGCCAGGCGAGTCAAACAAGAAGAGAAAGAATAGAGACGATGACAATGATGAGTTCAAGGAGTATCGCGACATCCAGGTCGACGAAGATGAGGTCAAGCACCAGGCCACCGGTGGCAAGGGCAAGCGTACATCAACAACAAAGCCAAAGGAGGATAACAAGAACAAGAACAAGAAGCAGAAGGCTACAACTACTACTCCTGCCTTTGCCGCTGCCGCTGCTGCTGCTGCCGCTGCTGCCGCTGCTGCTACTGCTGACAAGCCAGCTCAAGCACAGAAGGGCAAGTCCAAGGAGCAACAACCACAACAACAACAAACTGAGCAGAAGCAGAAGCATGCAACTCAAACACAGAAGGGCAACAAGGAGCAATCAAAGAGTGAGAAGCGTCAACAGAGGAATCAACAACAGGCCATGAAGACTATATTGGATGAGAAGGGTATGTATATGTGTGCTAGACAGTCCTCTCGCAGTCAATCAGGCACTAACCATGACTTGGAACATACTTTAGCCCAGGAGAGTATAGATGTATCAGCTTGGGAGCAGTACAATATTGATCCACTACTCATTAAGGGACTCAAGGGACTGGGCTTTGGACAACCAACTGAGATCCAGAGCAAGGTTATCCCATACGCCGTCAATGGCAGTGATATCATTGGTGCCGCAGAGACTGTATGTACAAGTGGGCGGACCAGGCAAACAACTCGTACACATACTAATGTTCAATCAATCAATCGTAGGGCTCTGGCAAGACATTGGCATTCGGTATTCCAATCATTAATAGCATACTTCAGTACTTGAGATCAACTGGACAGCAGGTGGAGAAGACTCAGACAGAGAGTGATGATGTCGAGGAGGAGATAGAGACAAAGGTTGATGATGATGTGGAGCAGGCAGATGAAGAGAAGGACGACGAGGAAGAGGCAGAGCCAGAGGAGAAGGCCAAGAGAATCAGGAGTCCATTGTACTCTTTGATCTTGTGCCCAACTCGTGAGTTGGCAATCCAAGTGTCTGATCACTTGAGAGCAGTTGCACATCAGACTTGTGTAAAGGTCGTCACGATCGTTGGTGGTATGGCACCACAGAAGCAGGTTAGACTACTGTCTCGTGGACCACATATTGTTGTTGCCACGCCAGGTAGACTCTGGGAGCTCATTCAAGAGGGCCACGCACATCTATTAGAGCTATCTCATCTGATGAGCTTTGGCATTGACGAGGCTGATCGTATGGTCGAGAAGGGTCACTTCCAAGAGGTGGACAACATCTTGAAGTTGTTGCCAATATATGACAATCAGAAGGATAAGGAAAAGGAACAGGAGATAGAGATGGAGAAGGAACAGGGAGAGGACGATGGCGACAATGAGGTAATGGAGCAAGAAGAGGAAGCCGAGGAGGAGCCAGACGAGTTGGAAATGGAGATTGAGCGAAGATTGGCCACAACAGCATCAATCTTCAAAAGACAAACATTCATCTTCTCAGCGACCATCGTTGGAATCCCCGATGTGGGAGGTGCTGGAAAGAAGGGCGCTCCTCGCAACAAGCGCAAGAATAGGACGCCACTGGACGACCTGCTCGCAAAGGTCAGGTTCCAGAGGAGATACCAGTTGGTCGATTGTACAATGAAGAAGCTGACAGCGCAGACGCTGAAGGAGACCAAGATTGTGTGCAGCCTGGAGGAGCGCGACGTCTTCCTCTACTACTTTGCTGATAGGTATCCTGGCAAGACACTGGTGTTTGTCAACTCGATTGATTGTGCGCGTAGACTGCTGCCAATCTTCACCAGTCTCAGGCTGCCTGTGTACCCACTGCATGCCCAGATGCAACAGCGCCAACGTCTAAAGAACCTGGACCGATTCAGAGAGCTCGACAACGTGATCCTGCTCGCCACGGATGTGGCGGCGCGTGGTCTCGATATCCCCAACGTGCAACACGTCATTCACTTCCAGGTGCCCCGTTCACTCGAGTTGTACATCCACAGGAGTGGTCGTACCGCCAGATCAAACCGCGATGGTATCTCTGTTGTGATGGTGACGCCAAAGGAGACGGCCACATACCAGAAGTTGGAGAAGGCTCTGGATCACCCCGTCGAGCCATTCCCCGTGGACCTTCGCTATCTGGATGCGATCCGCGAGCGCATCAACCTGGCGATTCAGATCGACAAGATGTCCCATCAGTCCTCGAAGCTCAATGTCGAGAAGAACTGGTTCATCAACACAGCACGCGAGTTGGACATTGCCCTGGACGATGATTATTATCAAATGTCCGATGATGAGGAGCAACAGACAAAGAGATACAAGAAGGATCAGCAGATGAAGCAACTCAAGCAGCAATTGAACATGTTGCTCGGCCTCAATATCTTGCCACGTGGCGCATCATCAAAATACATCACATCATCCAGTATCTCCGAGCTGGATGTCAAGACCAAGTCCACGGCCACCACCGACCTCCAGCATCTAAACAAGAAGAAGAAGCAAAAGACTAAATAAACATCTGTCTTCATACGTATGCATATTCAATGATTAGATATTGTGTCATCATTATCAAAGTCGAGTTGATCACAAACTTGTGGGCACTTTGATGAAACACACACATCAAACAGATACAGATACAGATACAGATAGAGATACTACGGATATAGATAGGGTACCATGAGTCTGTATGTTGGACTCCTCATACTTTATCGTTTGATTGACTAGACTTGCCTTGACTGACTTGAATGATCAATGACAGGTGGCTATTGCTCGATCCTGGAACGATACTTCTGTTTGCTTGCGCTTCATTTACTATATACTATGGCACGATACGATCATATCGTTTCCACTCTGACAACTATGAGACCTCAGGTATGACCTAGACTTGACGAGACATGTCAACAAGTGATACAACATTGACATATTAATAATGACCAAACACATAATCATATAACAGAACAAATAGAACTACCTAGATATGCTTACCTACTCATACCTGTGTTTGGTTCATTGGTAATGCTAACATTGTATTACTTCTTGGACCACATATATAAGTTGTTGGTCGTCTTCACATCGATTACAGCTACCTTCTCTGTTGCCTATACAATATTGCCATTTGTCGAGTCGTATACACCTCCAAGGAAAATGACGTACGTGTCGTCCATACTGTGACATCAATGATTGGATCGATACTTACCTCTCAATCAACTACAGCTTTGGAAGAGGAGAAGACAGCATTGTGATCACTATGGGCATGGTCGTCTCACTTGTTGCATCATTAGGAGTGATCGCAATCTGGGTATTCTATGACAATGTGACCATTGTGAACAGTAAGCAAGAAGGCAGTTCTATTGAAGGAGTTGGATGGTAGTTACTAACACATCACCCGCTAGCTCTTGCAGTGTGCATTGGAATAGCAACTTTGACGATTATGCGAATCAACTCGTTGGCGACCTTGGCACTATTGCTCACATTGTTGTTGATCTATGATGTGTTCTGGGTGTTCACTAGCAAGGTGATATTTGGCGAGAGTGTAATGGAGAGCGTTGCTACAAAGGTGCTGAGCTTGCCAATGTCAATACAGTTTGGACACTACTTTACAGAGGGTTGGTCGGGACTTGGCAATGGCGACATTGTTCTACCTGGTGTGTTCATTTGCCAACTCTACTTCTTGGACAAGCATCATGGCTTTGATCACAGCAATCAATTGTTGTCACTTCGTGGAGCTGGCTACTTCAAGATGTCCATGCTATTATACTTGTTCAGTCTAGTACTATCATTGGCCGTTGTCATCATCTTTCACAAAGGTCAACCAGCATTGCTTTATATTGGTAGGTTGGTGGTCCATTGTCCTAGGAAATGAACGGTCGGTCTCTAACAACCATTGCCCATCCATCACATTCATTTACAGTTCCATGTGTAGTATATACGACACTTTTCATTGCATGGAGACGTGGACATTTGGACAAATTGACACATCCAATACCGAGTCAGAAGAGGCGACCTCTAAATTACAACGAAGATGGCACTGTCCAAGAAAACGACCAGGAACTTACAGATGTTCATTCTGAAAACAATGTATAATAATAATATTAATAATTAATTAATCTCCTACATCTAGACATTAGAATACGAACGATGATGATGTGATGTGTGCTTGGCAACACCACACCTGTCCAATCAATGGACATCAATCTTGATAGTTCATTGGACAATTACAACACTGTAAATGTGTGATCTAGATTGGTGAGCATGTCCAATTGTTAATAGTGGTGGTGGTTTGGATGACGAAGTCAACCACTTTCACAGAACGCCGCACGACCCATGAACAGTTGGTCTGAGTAATCTATGCGGGTCCTGGTAGTGCGACTCAGGCCATCCGTTATACACTGGAAGGAAACGAATTCATGTGTTTGAATTCAAATCCGCCCCAAAAGGTCATTCACTATTTTGACCATTTTCTTGTGAAAGAAAGAAGTTTCCTATTGTGGCTTTTGGAACTCACTTTGACGCGCCAGACATTTGCACGGATGTCTCAAAAGACATGGTTTGTATGTGTGTGTGAGTGTGCGCCCGATGATAGTGTGGGGCATGTTCGAAGCCGAATCAAGGCAAAGTTGATGGACCATCCAATTGGCGCTTTAACAAGCAAGTAAGCAAGTACTTCTTCTTTATCATAATGAACTGACACGTACAAGCTCACGCACACACCTGTTATACAAACATAGATAAACAACAGTTACCATAAGAACAGTTACATGTCCATTCACTATTGCCGTCTTTAAATCTTATGGTGGTGCTCTGTGTTGTTGTTGGTGTAACTAGTGGAACTATTAATTAATTTAATTCTTAATAATAATAACAAAGTTACTTAAGAGAAGAATGACCATACGTTCTCAGATTACAATTTAAAGTTAAATATCCAAACTATATCCTTAACTATCAATCGTCAAAGACTACATACTAAGGTTACTTCTGACTTACCAAACTACACATACTTATCCATTATTATTATCTCTCTTTACTTGTTTGAAAGTACAAGTTATCATTTAAAGATTAGTCCATTGAACTCACTCATTCATTCATTTACTAAACATTATTGTTATATTCTTCAATTCCAAGTAATACACAACAAGATCTCCTACTCGACCGACTATGCTGACTCATTGAGTTACTTCACGTGAATGTAAGTAAGAGTGTGTCTTGATGTGGTGGGATTCATGTATTCATTCGAAAGTTACTCTTTGATTAACTTTACCTTTTATATCATTCTTTAGATCTACAAGTTACCACAACACACATCTACAACATTCAACAACAACACACTCGACTGTCAAGTTCACTGACGACTCGCCTCACACGAACGCTCGACACTTATACCTAGTCCATCACCTCATTCAATCTTATTATTTATCAAATCAAACAAATATTTATTATTGTTGTTGTAATATATTATCTCAAACTATCTTTCAATCACTCTATCATTCAATCCCGCTCTGTACATACACATACATATATATATATATATTTAAATTTATGTATTTTAAATCATTTAGTATATCAAAGTTATAATCCATTTATTTCTATTACTATTATTATAGTTATTATTATCTATTCATCATGTCTCATCAACAAAAAGGTAGTACATGTGATGAGGAGTTCGCTTGCCAAGCATTGACTCATTTGTCAAAGGATCTGTTTGCTTCATCGGCATTCCACATAGTGCCATTGCAAAGTCACACTTTCAATTCGAGCCAAGTACCAAGGTATCATCCAAAGTTATTTGTGCCATCCCACCCTTTCCAGATCAAGGACCTAGGCTCCGAGGCATGCCCAGACAATGACCTTCTCCCATCTTTGCCGAGCTCATCAGCTTCAACTCCCAAGATAAACAGTCTGTTGGACTGTGATGACTTTGCTAGTGACGACCAGGCCATATGCTCCTCGTCCCCATCTTCTCCACTGCATATGACACCCCGTACTCCTCCAGTCAAGAAACAAAAGACTTCAAAGACTTCGTCCTCCAAGCAACCACCCACATGCCACTTCATCAGTTGTCTCCTTTGCCAGAATGGAAAGCCATCACTGCTTGAGAAGCATCCAACTTGGGCTGCCATCATGAGGGTTGTATTCTACACCCTCGCCGACAGCATGCCAGAGAAGGCATTCTACTCTCTAAAGTCCGATGTCTACAGCTTCATGCAAGCTCATTGGGAACTTCTAGGTCTCGACAAGAAGAAGTCCAACAATTGGCACAAGCAGATACAGGATATGGTATGTATATCCATTCAATCACAATAACCTAGTTTTCATTCTAACTTTATTCAATATAGTTGTCACATAGCAAAGCAGTGTTTGAGTCTGGAAGTGAGGTCCTGGGGCAGTATGGATTCTGGAGACTGAGACACCTGACCGACCCCTTTGTAGACTCCAAGATCAATGTTGATCAAATGACCTCCAACTCATTCGATGCTCCTCCACAACGTCAAAGGACAAGTCCATTGATAATCCACACCTTTGAGGACGAGTTCAATTGTATAGATGACCGACATATCACATCCAAACCACCAGCCAACAACCTCAGTAGTTGCAACAGTGTTTCCAGCAACCAACATCATCCAATCAACAACCACAACAACTTTGAGATGACACCTCCAACAACTTATCCGACTCTTCCCAAGTTGAAGGACATCTTGGCCATAATGGACGAATAGAAATATATTTATATATAGAACGAATAAATAATAAAACATGTACATAAATAATATCTTTGTATTTTAGGGAACTTCAGTTTTGATCTGCAAAACAACATTCGGGTTTTTCAATATGGGGGCTTTGGTTGGATGGACCAACCCCTTTCTCCAGCCGAATGACCCCTTCGTAAACAAAACTGTCATGTGCTCAAAGCAAACGAACACTATTCTTCATCCTTCGTCTTCATCACATACATAACATAATATAACAGTTAATAACAAGTTTGTCCAACAATTATTCAATCAATATCACTCGCCCAATCAATCAATCCATCAATCATTCTCTCACACCCTCAACCATCAATCAATCAATCAATCACTTATAAGTGAACAAGACAAGAGTGATTGAGTGATCAACTGTGTAATCTGTGCAACACAGACACGGTCAGACAGAGACAGACACAGATATGTCAAACAATAATGCATCCAGCTGGTCAACTGCTGTGGCTGCCACTGCATCATCAGGTGGACGATCGGTCATTTGCAAATATTACAAGTCCGGAACATGTAAACTAGGTGATTCGTGCAGATTTGCACATGGCACACCGGCCACCACCACTACCAGCCAGTCGCCAGCCGCGCACTTGCCCAGCAACCTCAATCATCCAGCGCAATTCATGCAACACCAGCCAAACAACAACACCAACTCAAAGAATAACATTAACAACCATGGACAGGATGCTTCGGTTGAGAACAGGACCTCAGCCACATCCTCATCCACATCATCAGCCTCAGCAACATCATCAGCGGCTGCCACCACAAAGGGAAAGCAACAGTTTGATGGCTCTGGACCCACTGCTCCAGCACCACTCCCACTACCGCCCAACGCAATCTCAGTCAACAGTCTGGCCTCATTCAACGCACTTTCAATGGAGGATCCGGCCGAAGACTATCTATCACTTAATTGTCGATCAAGCCCTGCTTTGATGGCTGGACGCCGTCCATTCCTACAACTGGTCGTACTCTACGCCTCGGACAACCGAGTGATCCGCTTCTCCAAGGACATTCAGAACATGTTCCTGGAGGGCGGCTTCGATGTCCATCTCAAGTCTGAGGAGAATGGACAAAGTATCAAGACAGAGAACCTTGCAGAAATAATAGCCAGTGCCAAGTCTGATTGTTTGGTCGTATTGGGAGACAGGAACTTGAAGAACAGGTCATGTCAAGCCAAGAGAAGAGGCAAGCTCATGGAGATGGACGTAAGTGGATACAATTGGATATGACTTGGACGAGGACATTCGAGACTGACCCATCGCACATCAACCAATCATTGGATATATTAGGTGGAAGAGGTGATCAAAGGCATTTGGAATGAATGGAATCAATATCTTACATGGGATGAGGAGGAATTGACGAATGATCAGGTGTTCAACTTGTTGGAGAAACATTGTAGATTGCGTCATATCAAGGATAGACTGAACAAGTTGAAGAATAGTATTATGGAGTTCAAAGATCTGAGGATACCACAGCGCAACAACAATAGATCAGGCGATATCACAGCCAATCACTCATCGTTGGACGAGAAGATCGCGTCCAAACTGACCTCGGCCCAAAAGTCAATCGTACGCTTCCACGTACAGGTGGTCGAGGCTCTCCAATACATTGAGGAGATGCCATATATCACGCATGCCAGTCGTCTGGCG